TCATATTCAATTCATCACTGGATATAATATCAATTAATTGATGTATTGGTAAAAATAAAAATTCTTCACTTTCTTTCACATCAATAAAATGTTGCTGTGCATAACGATCAGCGACTCGTAAAAGTTCTCGACATGAATGTGTATCTGCAAACGCTCGAATGCCTAAACAATTTGTTGGATCGAGTTGTTTTTGAAGAAATTCACAACATGTTATTTGAACTTCTTCAATCTAAATCACATAGAAATTTTCTTTTTTTAAATTACATATTTTCTAAATTATTTTATAGAAACAAGGGCCTACATTTTTTTCTGCATCTCAACTATTAATACTTTCATAAGTGAAGACACAAAAAACTATTTACTCGATAATTACAATCGGATAGATCTAGCTTAAATATACATTCGTACCTGTGTTAGCTACTACAAAAAGTATCGTACTACCAATAAATTCTAGTTTATGAAAGAACTGCAACATGGAATTATTAAATTTTCAATACTAGTGACGCTTTTGTTGTCTTTATTTGATTGTTACATATTATTTTCTTACCTGGAGAATACAAGCTGCAGGTAATAGCATTTGAACATTTTTTTCATCAACAACAATTCTTGACGTATAACAATATTCAATTAATAATTCCATCGCATATTCTTCAATATCCCGAATGATTATTTCTGTTTGTCGACTTTCAGCTAATTCACCCGTAAACATTGCTCTAAAATATGGGCTACATGCTAAACAAAAGAAATGAATTTTATTTTCAAATTACAACTATTTCAATTACCGGAAAGAATAGCGCGATGAGCTGGTATCTTATTTTGACGAACAATCAAAATGACATCACATAATTCTTTTTGTTTTCTTAATAAATTTAAATTTTCTAATAGAAATTTTGCATGTTTATCTGATGTTTTAACAAGTTTATTACTACAACAATCTTTAAGCATGTCAATCGTTGTGCTACTACTAATTTCATTTTGATTATTTCGATTGATGGAATTATGTTGAATTGTACTGAAAACATCAAAAAAATACTTAAAATAAAATTTCAGTAAATCCTCAAATAAACAAACCATGTTTTGCCTATTAACGAAGGCGAATGTGCTGTATCCATTCTCTCCATTTGATTCAATTTGAAAGTATTATTTTGACAATAAAATAAATGTTCATTTTGTTTTTACATCGAAAATAAAAAACCTCTTATGACTAGCAGACAAACAACAAACAATTTGCAATATGAATGATAATCGTTATATTCCGTGGTAATGGCTGATCTAATTGATGGTAGCGACCTCGACAAAATATATTCGGAAATATTATAAAAATTCGAATTTCTTTTGTAAGAAAATTCCATCGCTCATAAAATTTACTTGAATTTTGTGTACAAAAATAAATTACAAAAAATGAATAGATGGTTTTATAGGAATATTTGATTGGTCCATGCTGTCAATTCCAACAAATGTTCTCTCAATTGAAACTAGAGCATATAGTTTGTTTTCTTTTTTTTTGCTGGTTCGATGATAAATTAAAAATAATATCATTTAGATCTTTTCGATAAACTGTGATTAGCAAAATAAATGCTTTCATCATTCCGAAAACAGGATAAAAAGGATGAAGAATCCAGCACAAGTGGAAATCCATATAAGAATCTTGAAAAAGCGTCGGTTCTTCAAGAAGTAAAATATAGTGTTAATTTTTTATTCTACAAGAAACTCTTATTTAATATAGTCTCGTACATTCAATGAAACTCCCGTAAATGCACGAAAATGTATTCAAATTTTAACAAAAATCATTTATATGATTAATCAAGTACGTATGATTAAATGAATTTTGTTTTTGCTGCTAATAAAGACTCATTTCATACTGCCACTTACAGCCAGATATGGTAAAAAAAATTCTTTTTTTCTCTTTATGGTGAATAGTAAATTATTTTCTTGGGACATTGTTTCATATTATTTAAATAGTTCCTGTTTATTTTTGGTAGCCACATATTAACATATGTATTTTTATTTTCAGGGAGAACAATTAGGTCAAACTGAAGCAACAGAAACTTTTTTTGCTATGACAAAATTATTTCAATCAAAAGATGTAAGTTCATATAGAAAAAGCAAGCGTGCATTACATGTCTCAAAAAATATTCTAGTTTTTTTTTCCAAACTATTTATCTCTCAAATATTTGAAAATTTTAATACTTAAATTCTTCTCAGGGTTAAGACTATGCATATTTTTTTTCGATGAATAGATAGTTTCAACAAAAATATTTAAATGTGATTGAATAGAAAATTTGTGAATCTTATTAGAATGTAAAGTGATAATTGTCTTTTTCATTTGAGAATTTGCGACTCATATTTCAAATATGATAGAATTTTACTAGCTTTTATAAAGATGAGAAAAGCAAAAGTTTTTTTTTTACTTTGAATTACAATTTATGTTAAATTCTTCTATAAAACAAGTCGAAGTCAGAATGAAGGAATATCAAAAAAGTAAAAAGCATCTAGTGGTATATCATGACATCATCTCTCTGTTGAAGACTATCTTCGATAAGATATCATTTTATCGATATAAAAAAAATCGATCTCGTTTATTTTTAATATGACCAGAAAAAAATTCAAAAATCACTGATTGTTTTTTCTTAAATAATTAGATGATGCTTCGTCGTATGATCTATTTATCAATAAAAGAAATGTCAACAGTTGCCAATGATGTTATAATAGTAACATCGAGTTTAACTCGCGATATGACTGGAAAAGAAGATTCTCATCGTGGACCAGCTATACGAGCTTTATGCAAAATTACAGATGTAAGTATACTAAGACATATTTTCAACATAAATTATTAAATAATTATAACAACTTAGCCATCCATGATGCAAAGTGTTGAGCGATATATGAAACAAGCCATTGTTGATAAACTGCCATCAGTTGCATCAGCTGCATTAACATCATCTGTTCATTTAATGCGTCAGGGCCCTGAAGTAGTTAAACGCTGGGTTAATGAAGTTCAAGAAGCTGTTAATAACGATAATATAATGGTACAATATCATGCTCTTGGACTTTTATATCAAATACGTCGATCAGATAAACATGCTATTAGGAAATTAATCGTTAAGTTTTCTAAAGCTGGTCTACGAAGCCCATATGCATATTGTTTTCTGGTTAGCATATCAACAACTATCATAATAATTATTAGGAGATTTTTATTTTTATTTATTCAGATTCGTATTGCTGCTAACCTTATCAATGAAGAGGGCGAAGGGTAAAAAGAAACACAAATTTTGAAATTAAAGAACTAATTAAAATTTGAATTTATTTTTAGAACGGACAGTCCAATGTATGATTTTATTGATTCATGTTTACGTCATAAAAACGAAATGGTCATCTATGAAGCAGCATCAACAATTGTGTCACTTAAATGTGTTACACCAAAAGAACTTAGTTCAGCAGTTAATGTTCTTCAATTGTTTATTTCATCACCTAAACCTGTTTTACGTTATGCTGCAGTTCGAACATTAAATAAAGTTTGTTGTATATGTGGGTTATAGAATAGAAAAGTTTTCATTTGTTTCATTTATAGGTTGCTATTCAATATCCAGCAGCAGTTACAGCTTGTAATGTGGATCTTGAAACATTAATTACTGATTCCAATCGTTCGATTGCAACATTAGCTAT